AGAGAGAGAGAGAGAGGTTGGCATTTAGATGCAACAACCCTTCCAACTCAGATACTAATAGAAGTAAGTGTATGACCATGGATCAACCATGTATATAATCAATTTATCGTAAGGATTTGGTCTAAGTGGATACAAAGTAGGTAGATTTGATGTAACAAATCCTCCCAATCCAATGGAATATGGTTTCTTATATATATATATAAGTTGGTAGAAGATGGGTATCTCGTGACCTACCTTCCAAAAGCCTCATGCTCGCTCTCTCTCTCTCTCTCAACTTCTCTGCTATAAATGACTTGCTTCCCTCGAATACATCTGCTGTGTTACTTTCTTCCTCTTAATCGCTCCCACTAGCTCGTCAACACAAAGGCTTGCTTTCATGGGAATCTTCTCACTAGTGACAGGGTTACCAGGGCCAAGCGGCTTCGGATCGTCTTCCACAGCAGAGCAGGTGACCGAAGGCGTCGACGCATCCAACCTCACCGTCATCATCACCGGTATGCTTCCTTCTCTCCATGATAAGCTTCCACTGGTTAACCTCATGCAGGAAACTGTCACGTCCACAGGCGGTGCAAGCGGCATCGGCGCAGAGACCGCAAGAGTCTTCGCACTTCGCGGTGCCCATGTCATCATTGCAGCCAGGAACATGGAGGCTGCCACTGATGCGAAGCAGCTTATCCTAAAGACCACTCCATCTGCCAGGGTGGATCTCTTAGAGCTCGATCTCAGCTCACTGAAGTCTGTGCGTGCCTTCTCGGACAAGTTCCTCTCCATGGATCTTCCCCTCAACATCTTAATGTACTCCCCGTCTTCGTATCATGAGCTACACCTCGTAGCTTTGATGTTTCTGGCACTGACTTCGATTCCGCACTGTGCTTGTAGAAACAACGCCGGCGTCATGTTCTGCCCTCACCAGCTCTCTGAGGATGGAACAGAGATGCAGTTCGCTACAAATCACATAGGTGCTCTACATCTTTTCTCTCAAAGCTTATCACAGGGATGTTTGAAATGCTTTGTTCCCTCGATCTTTTGCCGTCAGGTCACTTTCAGCTGACGAATCTTCTTCTTGAGAAGATGAAAAGCACTGCGAGGAAGACAGGAATCGAAGGTCGCATTGTGAACTTGTCGTCTGTGGCTCACATATACACCTATGAAGATGGAATTCGATTTAGTGAACTCAATGAAAAATATGGGTATGTTAATTGGTCATTAGAATCATCTTTTCGGAGACGACTGATTTGGTAAATGGACTGTTGTCAGGTACTCCAGCAAGAAGGCATATGGGCAATCTAAGCTGGCCAACATATTACACGCGAATGAGCTCTCCAGGCGTCTACAGGTACTGTGGCGATCAAATGTTCTTAAGCCTCCACATTTGGTACTCCAAAAGCTGAGCAGAGCGATCTGCTGTGACAGGAAGAGGGAGCAAATGTTACAGTCAACTCTGTTCATCCAGGACTCATCATGACGAACCTGATGAGGCACACCTTGTTCCTGATGAGTAAGTTCTTATACCAAGCTCTCGATCATGTCCTCCTCTTTCTCTGAGCCTTTGCTTGCAGGGATGCTAAAGATGGTCTCATACATACTGTGGAAGAACGTGCCGCAGGTACGACCCCGCGGATTGCTGAAGCCATGTAGGGACCTGTGGCTGTGTGCTCACATCGTTATGTTTCGGCGGTGCAGGGAGCAGCTACGACTTGCTACGTTGCGCTACATCCGAGCGTGAAGGGCGCGTCGGGGAAGTACTTCGTCGACTGCAACGAGGCGAAGCCGAGCTCGTTGGCCGGAGACGAAACCCTTGCGAGGAGGCTGTGGGACTTCAGCGAGAAGCTGGTTAATGCCAAAAGTTGTGACCGTCGGTGATGAGAGATGCAAACAGAGTTTGCTGTCTTCCAACTATTTCATGGGACTATAAATGATGAGAACGAGATTTAATCTTATATATTTCTCCTATCAATAGTTAAAAGACTTTACCAAGTAAATCTCTAGGCAAGTAAATGTAGTATAGGATCACCAAATCAATATTTCAAGTGTATATCCATGTAATTATAACTGTGTGGGTCTAATATATTAAATTAAAATAAATAAATAATATATAAATTCTTGAAAAAAAAAACTCGTAAGCTTGAGAACTTTTTATATAGCATCTCAATCTTTTTTTTTATTTTAAAGATGATCATTTTGTTCTTGTCGATCATTATATCCTGTCTAATATTGTGATTCTTACGTTCAGGATGTCATTAACACTAGAACGCTTTGTAAGTGAGTTAGCATATGTGCGTTTGTACCCATTAGTCTTATAGAAACCCTAAGACGGTGTATTCATTGGTTGCGACGATAAACCTTCTACTTGAGGTTCAAGAAGGGACACTGAAACCTTCGCCCTCCCCGACCTCCCTCTCTCCCTTTCTCCTCCTCGCTAATCTTCGTCGTCCGATGTTAAGACTTATGTTTGGTCATCAGTTTAACCCAAATCCTATTTTTCCCTTCAGTAATGTATTACAAAAAAATAAATAGAATAAAACCCTTCATTAATCCATTTTCCATCACTTGCTTAAATTGCGGTTAATTCTGATACGGGGATGACAAGCCCATGAGAGCGAGAGACGACAGGCGGCACGAGTTCGAGACACGAATCACGACGACTGCCGCTGCCGTCCAGCGCTGGCCCTCCTTTCCCGCCGCGATCCAACCACCCTCCTTCTAAGATGCGCCGGCGACCTCACCATGCGCCAGCTACTCCAACTCCACGCCCACCTCATCACCTCCCCTCCGCCCCCGGACGCCGTAGACCCCAACGTCGTCGCTGTCAAGCTCATCTGCGCCGCTGCCGCGCGCTCCAACCCCCGCCATGCCGCCCTCGTTTTCTCTGCTCTCTCCGCCCCCAACCTCGTCGCCTGGAACTCCCTCCTCCGGGCCCTTTCCCTCCACCACCTCCACCCCGTTGCCCTCCGCCATTTCCATCGCCTCCTCGCCGCCGGCTCCCCCCTGCCCGACGAATTCACGTTCACCTCCGTCCTCAAGGCCTGCGCTGGCCTCCTTTCCAGGTCGGACGGGGAGATGGCCCACGCCCTCGTCCTGACGCGCGGCTTCGAATCCAACCTCTTCGTCCGCAACTCTCTCGTTGACATGTACTTTAAGTTCGGCCGGCCCGACGATGCACGACGCCTGTTCGATGAAATGATCACGAAGGACGTCGTTTCTTGGAACACTCTGGTCTCTGGGTATTGCTCTTGTGGTGACATCTCCATGGCGCGGAAGGTGTTTGATCGGATGCCTGAGAGGAGCATGGTCTCCTGGTCTGCGATGATTGCAGGCCATGCTCGGTCTGGCGACTTGGGCGCTGCTCGTGAGGTCTTTGATCGAGCAAATGAGAAGAGTGTTGGTTGCTGGAATGCCATGATCTCGGGGTACGCTCAGAACGAGAAGTTCTCAGAGGCCATTGCACTGTTCCGCAGGATGCTGCAAATCCCGATGGTGCAGCCCAATGAAGTTACACTTGTGTGTGTACTATCAGCCTGTGCCCACCTAGGTGCCCTTGATTTAGGAAGGTGGATCGATGGATTCATCAAGAGGAGAGCCATGGGATTGAGCCTCTTCTTGGGGAATGCACTATCGGACATGTATGCCAAGTGCGGGTGTGTAGCCGAGGCAAGATCAGTGTTCGACAAAATGGCAGAGAGGGATGTGGTGTCATGGAGTATAATTATCACTGCATCGGCCATGCATGGCCATGCCGAGGATGCAATATCTGGTTTCCACAGAATGTTAGAGAGTGGCGTGAAGCCAAATGACATCACATTCATGGGAATTTTATCTGCTTGCACTCATGGTGGCCTAGTGGATGCAGGGCTTTGTTATTTTGACATGATGACTGAGGAGTTTGAGATCATCCCAAAGGTTGAACACTATGGCTGTGTGGTGGATCTTCTCAGCCGCGCTGGAAGGCTTGATGAAGCTGAGGACTTGATAAATTCAATGCAGGTGGCACCCAATGTCATCGTCTGGGGTGCTCTGCTGGGTGGTTGCAGGATCTACAAGGACATAAACCGAGGGGAACGAGTAGTTCAACACATACTGGAGTTAGACCCTGGGCACTCGGGCAGCTATGTGTATCTAGCAAACGTGTATGTTTCGATGGGAAGGTTGGAAGATGCAGCGAAGTTTAGATTAATGATGCGAGAGAAGAGGGTGGTGAAGACACCTGGTTGCAGTTGGATTGAGGTAGACAACATGGTACATGAGTTCTTCATGGGCGATCGTTCGCATCCACAATCTGAAAAGATATATTCAATGATCAGTACATTGAGCTTAAGAATGAAGCTCGCAGGATATGTCCCCATCACATCCTTGGTTTCACAAAGCATAGATGAGGAGGAAAAGGAGAATGTGCTGTCGATGCACAGCGAGAAGTTAGCTGTAGCTTTTGGGCTCATCAGCACAAAGGATGGTACCACAATTCGAGTTGTGAAGAATTTGCGGGTTTGTAATGATTGCCATGAAGCCATGAAGGTCATCTCAAGAATTGTCTCACGGGAGATTGTTCTGCGTGATCGAAGTCGGTTCCACCATTTCAAGGAGGGTCAATGTTCTTGTAAAGACTACTGGTAGTGATCCTTAAAGATGGGGCAACAATTTTCCACTTTGAAAGAGGGAAGTCAATTGCTGTGCCAGGAAGTTAAAGATTGTTCCAAATTTTGATACCTACAGATGTCTGCAAAGCCACATTTCATGTATTGATGAAAGTGATTACTGACTTGATGAAGGGAGTGCCAATACGGTTGAAGGATCTTTGAGAACAGCCATGGAATGCCTGGAGTTAGATCCTGGACATTAGGGCAGCTATTTATTGCTGGCACAAGTGTGACTTGGGTGTATACTTAATGCAAGCGGAAAGAGTCACCATGATACCTCCTGGTCGCAATTAGATCAAGTTAAGATAAATGCGCCACATGAATTTGTACAGGGATATATTTATATCTCGTGAAAAATGATTAGTTCCCAATATGTTGGAAGTTCCTCAAAGCATAGGCAAGGGTAAAAAAAGGAGTATGCTCGATTTGGCTGTGGTGAGAAGATAGTGTGGAGTTCTGGCTCATCAGCATGACTGCTGAGAGATGGCTACCGAATTGAAACATGAAAGATGTGTCAATTTGTAGTAATGACTTTGAAGGTTGACTCAGAAATTAGTCTAATTGGAGCCTTTTGGTTGAGATCAGCTTTCAGCATCCAAAGGAGAGGGAATCATCCTGCAAAACGTTACTGGTAATAATTTTAAAGATGGATCATCTGTTCTACCATCAGAAAAAAGCAGAGGAACTTCTGTTATTGTAGAAGGTGTTTAACCTCTGAAGTTACACATCCATCAGGCAGTTTGGCACATCTTTACTGCTGCTCCTACGACACAGCAATGAACTTAGTGCTCGATTTTGTGATGAGAAGATGGTGTAGATTTCCGGCTCATCAGCATGATTGCTGAGAGATGGTAACAGAGTTGAAACGTGAAAGATGTGTCAAGTTGTAGTAATCACTTTGAAGGTTGACTCGAAATTAATCTAATTGGAGCTTTTTGGTTGAGATAAGCTTTCAGCATCCGAGGGAGAGCGAATCATCCTGCAAAACATTACTGGTAATAATTTTAAAGATGGATCATCTGTTCTATCATCAGAAAAAGCAGGAACTTCTGTTATTGAGAAGATGTTTAACCTCTGAAGTTACACATCAATCAGGCAGTTTGGCACATCTTTACTGCTGCTCCTACGACACAGCAATGATCTTAGTGGTGGTATCTTCGGCCTCTGTTCACATCACGCATGGAAGAGCCATGACCAGACTGGAATATTAACTTAAACTTTATGATTATTAGTATTTTAATTTAAAGTTTTAGTCAAGATAGGTATTATTATCATAATTGAAGTCATAACTTCGTGACCAGAGATTGTAATATGAGCCTTTAGTTTTCAAATTTTTTATTTTTCCTCTATAATTTCTTGATCTTCATGAACTTTTCAAGAAAATTTGACCAGAGATGGTAATATGAGCCTTTAGTTTTCAAATTTCTTTATTTTTCCTCTATAATTTCTTGATCTTCATGAACTTTTCAAGAAAATTTTCAACATGATATTGGAACAATTATTTTTCCTAATAGGATGGATTTATACATCAAATCTTATGGCATCCTACCATGGATGGTCATAATGTATTCGTTAATGGATCGTTTATTGTTTTTATTTATTTATATATATGTTTGATAACATGTTTTATCTTGTTTTTATGTATTATTGCTTGAAAACTATAAGCAGAAATAGTTTGCAAAGCTCTAGAGCAATCATTCACTAGAATGAGTAAAATTACCTCAAAATAGTCCAAATTTTGTTTGTCATGGTCTATTTTCTATAGGTTGCGATGTAAAAAAAAATATCAATCATCTCAGTATCTCAAAACCCCTTAGGTAGTACCTGGATGGTGGTTTGGGATAGTATTGAGCATTGGTTGAATTCACAAGGTTTCACGTTAGGTATGGAGCGTTCAAGTTATTAGTAATGCTTTTCAGCTTAACCAATGCTTTGGTCATATTATGCACTCTCATGGACCAACTATGTAATGAGGCATCTGGACAAGTTTGTGATCGTCTACTTGGACGATATCATCGTTTACAGCTAAACACTTGAGTAACATGTCAAGAACATTCGAATAATTTTCAATGTTTTTAGGGATAACACTTTTTTCATGAAAATGGAGAAGTATTATTTTGCTCAAATAGAGATTTTATTCTTAGGATATCGAATTGACGAAGGTTCCATTCGAATAGATAAATCAAAGTTACAACCTGTGGTGGAGTAGCAAACACCACAAAAGGTACTTGAGCTGAGATTCTTTCTTGATTTCATCAACTATTATTTGTGCTAATGTAGCTGTGCGCTCAAAGTGCACAACTCTATTGATGAAGTTGCTAAAGAAGGAGTAGCCTTACCGATGCTTAGACAAATATGAAGTGACATTCTAAGACCTAAAGGTTGTTGTATTGAAAGAACTAGTACTCAAATTGATGAACTATAGGAAGCCTTTTAAAGTCCATACAAATACTTTGAACTTTGCTATTTGGGGAGTACTTATGCAGAAAGGTCAACTGGTGGCCTACGAGAGCCGCAAGCTCAACGAGATCGAGCGGTGGTATCCAATGCACGAAAAGGAGATAATAGCGGTGGTTCATTGTCTACAAGTTTGGCAATACTATCTTCTCGAAATGCAATTTGTGCTAAGAATGGACAATATCGCATTGAGTTACTTATAAACTCAAAAGAAATTCTCCCTAAAGCAAGCATGGTGGCAGAACTTCATGGCTGAATTTGATATGATAATAAAGTACAAGCCCAGAAGAGTAAATGTGGTAGCCAATGCATTGAGTAGAAAAGTGGAGATGATAAATGCCATGCAATTGGAAGGTAGAGGCTAAACAAGTTAGCTATATTTAACTTCCTTTCCAATATTAGGAATGGATTGTATAGTGATCCATATGTAGTAACCCTAATGCAACTAATCAAACAAGATAAGATACGATGATTTTGGGTCCAAAAAGGACTCATCTACACCAAAAGGAGTAGAGTTTCTGTTCCTTAAGCGGATAATATAAGACATGAACTTTTGAGAGTGTCATAGTTTCCTTTGGGCAGGACATTTGGGTATTCACTGAACATTAGCTCTTGTAAAGAGGGCATTCTATTGACCGAAGATGGGGACTGATATGAAAAAATATGTTCAAACCACTTATTAATAAGATAAGGCAGAGCAACGAAAGTTGATGAGACTTTTGGAGTCGTTGCCTATACTTGAAAGGATGCAAGAGAGCATTTCCTTTGACTTCATATCAAGCTTATCGACAATAAGGGAGAGTCAGATCGATACTCGTGGTGGTTGATCAATTTTTAAAATATATAACATTCATTATTTAACTCCTACACTACTCAACAAAGAAGGTGGTCAAATTGATGATGAAGAATGTGATTAAGTATTGAGAGGTCCCACAAGATATCATTAGTGTTCGAGATGTGTGATTCTTAGGGTGATTATAGATTGAACTATTTAAATTACTGAGATCTAAGTTATTCTTTTTCACAAGTCTCTACCGGATAACCAAACTATGAAAAAGAAATTCACTCTTTTGAGCAATATCTTTAGCACCATGTGAGTGTCAACTAACGAGATTGAGTGAAGCTGTTTGACATAATCTAATTCTCCTATAAGTTGCAATAGAGATCTACATCTAATAATAGCCCTTTCGAGATCATTATGGGATAGCAGTTGATTTTTCAAACCTTAGCGATCAGTTATATCGGAAGTAGTCCGTCAGCATATCACTTTACTTACATGGAGAAGGCGACTAAAAGTTGAAGAAGTGGGTATATTTAAGAAGGCGTCCATAGGGGTTTAAAGTCAATGACTTGGTGTTATTGAAGCTCCAACCATAAAGTGCACAAGGAACTCGTGCAAAGACCCTTCTGAATTATCAATAGGGTAAGCAATGTCTTCTACAAGTTGTTACTATCGATGTAGCTCAAAATTCATAATATCTTTCACGTAAATGACTTAAAAGCCTACCACTTAGATCGGCAAGATATTTTCCGAAGCGTTCCAACTTAGCTACCATCGACCTTAGCCTCCTATAAAAAGTGAGTTGAAATCATTTTAGTAGATCGTAAGACAAAGCTACCCAACAAAGCAAAGCAGATCGAGTACTTGATGAAATGACAAAAAATTCCCTAAACAAGCTAGTTGGAAGTCTGAAGACACCTTACGACATGAAAAAACGGTCATCAAGGACTACTAGTAAGCATCGACAAGGGCATTGACAATTTAAATGGGAAAAAATGTCACAGACGGTTATTGCACACCCATAACGCTTTTGTCAATAGACTAATTGTCGCTTTTATTTGCTTATACATATGTTGAACAATATATTTTATATTATTTTTATATGTTTTTGCTTAAAAATTATAAACAAGAAAAGTTTACAACAGTATAGGTGGCACCTAACTAGATGGAGATTTGATAGTGTTGAGTGTGCTCGACTCCCGATGAATAGTTGTTTGACCTTTTTTTTTTTTTTTCTTTTTCTCTTGTACACTCAGTATTTATTGAATTGCTTATAAGACTATCATCTTCACGATACATCGAAACTTGTCTATCGCTCATATTTGAACTACTCAATTTGCTCTTTCCATATCATACCTAATCTTTTATGATCCAATAATGTAAAATAACAATGCCAATACTATTGGAGTAAGTGAACAGATCAGACAGACACCCGTTTGGGTGCAAATCCACGGGCTTCTATGATTGCATTAGGAGAACTAATAAAATCAAGATATCATAAACATCTTAGTTTTACTATTAATCTTGAAGATACAAGAAATTTTTTTTTTTCGAAAAAGGACCGATCTATAGGCAAATCAGAAACATCAAGAACAGATTGTTCCAAGCAAACCGAATATTGGTGAGACATTAAGTTCTCCAAAACATGGTCCATGACCAAACAACAACATAAAGGCCTCGGTTCTTAGTTCCTGGAACTCGAAATCACCGTAGCATTCTCGTGTTCAACCCACGACAACAGTAGATGCAACCAACGACAACCACAGGCAAAGAGAAAATGGAAACCAACCGATGCATGCTTGCACTTGACATGCTTATTTATCTACAATCATCAGCAATATCTTGTGTGAAACATTACGGTGGCGAAGGCCTCTCACGTAGCCTCCGCCATAGATATATGCACTTTAGTAAGCGCTTCCCTCAAGAAGGTGTTCCCGCACTTGGAATCTTGCTTACTGACTGCATACTTCAAGACTTCCATGCTGGAATTGTCGTATCCATTCGGCGGGGACGTATCCCCAGTGCTTTGTGACCTGAAAAATATAGTGATTTAAATCTTAATTTCAAGAGCATTGATGCATAAATTCATGCCAAAGTTGTCATCATCTACCAAATGTAATCAAGAATTAACCTCATATCCACAGATTCAGCCATATTGCCTGCGCTGCTCCTGTTTGTACTCCTCCTCTCGGTATTGCTTCCCCGTGCCGATTTGCCCTTGTGCTTGTGTTTATTGCCATCTTTTTTCTTTGCTCGGGGGCGTTGGTGATGGCTCTTCTTTACAGTGTGCGACACTGTGGTGCACGGTGGATCATAAACCTCGGGGGCCCATTTTACACGTAACTGCACATTCGAAGGTGATCCATTCTTCGCACGGCTACCCTTTACGGCAGAAATGAGTTTTGAAGGAGCCTGGAAAAACACAGTTCAATCAATACAATTAGGAAGTACTTCTACACGAAACATTCTCATCATATGAAATCTTTTAAAGTGAACCTCATCCTAGAAGGCATCAACCAGAAAAGTAGGAATTTATATAACCAAGACAGCATTGTTTGAAATTGTATGTAGCGCCATCACTTGCATCTAACACCTATCCTAATGAGACTACTACCAGCAGAACATTCCATAAATACATGAACAATCATATTTGCATGCATAGAGTATCTTCTCCTGGGACCAACAAGGAACCCAGTCCAAAAGGAAAAAAGTAATGACCTTTATCATCATAAAGAATTCTCTGCTAATATTTTCACCATATGAAAGTAAATTTCCTCAATATGATTGCTCCCTAGGAGCAATTTGTTCTTCAGTGCAATATTCAGGATGTAATGGCAGCAATAAATTGGCAAGTTTAGCAATGATACATCATCAAGAATGCTTGCATAGACTAGGACCAACTGATACTCAAATTATTTAAACAATAGAGACTCACAGGGAGAGAAACTGAACGTGCATATGTAGGATTATTAGGTGCAGAAGAACACTCTTGTTGAAAAGCACTGCACGGCATCCCACAACCACCATCTATAGAGAGATCAACAGGGTCCACCTCCACTGAGGAAGGAAATGTTGCAGATTTAGTCAAGGCTTTCTGTTTCTTCACATCAGACGAAGCAAAATGATGTAACTCTTGGTAACTCTCAAGATGCTTTGCTTCGAGTACTTTCTCATCTGAGGTTGCATTATCAGATAACTGTGCTTGAAGATCACCGACAGGCAGAACCAAAGAAGGAGCAACATCAGCCTCTTGAACTGTTAACACATCATTTTCGCTAATAAAAGGATCACTCGGGGTCCCCTGCAATGTAAGCTTAGCAGTTTCTTCTTTATTCCAGCAAACACACTCTTTGTTTTCTACATTTGATTTCCCGTGGCTAAGGCCATCGACATATAAGCCACAACTAGTATCTCCAAGAGGTGTATCAGCATTACAGACACTGTCCATCCAGCTGCTATTGTATCAAAAGCTGACAAAGAGTTCATATTAATGGTTTCACCATATGTATATTTTATATCAAGAACAATAGAACTACTACAAGAAATTGGCAGGAATATTATGCTACACAAGTTTATTTGCTAAACATGAAGCATGGTGTAATGTACATATATTAACTCTCTGTTCAAGACTACAAAAACTCATATAACTACTATTCAGTGCAAAATTGATTTTTGCTTGGAAGAGATCAATATAATATAATTACATTTACTCATAGAAGCTTCAACACTCAAACCTCAATTAAATAACAGAACCAACCCTCACCTAATCGAGAAGATGCAATGAGCAACCTCAGAATAAACTGAAACATGTCAGAAATAAAATCCAGTAAAAGAAAGCAAATAATGTTTCTGTTAACCAAAAAAAAAAAGAGTACATGACGTTGATCAAAATCAGGCAACCACAAGACAGAGGCTTGTGACCGAATCATACTACTTGTGTCTAGAACATCAAATCTACAACACATAGGACCATAATTTTACATGAACGTAGCAAACTAGGATTTTAGAAAAAAACACAAATGACATTTAGTTTTGGTTGGTAACTCTGAGTTTCTTTGTCATGCACTAAATTATACAGGCAGTTTAGGCTGGACTTGGTCCAAACATTTGGCACAATGATCTGGGAGTTTCATTTCAACAACCCAAAATCCATTGTGCTTATTGTTTATCCTTTTCTGGCAACAGTTTATCATGAAAGTAAAGCTCAATCTTGTCCAAGTAGGAGAAACATGTGAACATTCTGTACTCAAAATGTATCTACTTACCATGCAACCTGACAGGATTTAGGCACACATGCTGACTAAAGTAAACAAGCGTGTGAGAGAAATATCATAATTAAAAAATTAGACTGGTTTTAAACGCTCTCAGTCATAAGAAAAATCACTATATCATAGATATATTCACCAGACTGGGAAAACAGTATATTTAATATATACTTCTCACTAACAAGATATCCAGAAATCACCTAGTAAGATAAACCAATATCAAAGTTGAGTAAACTAACACATTTTGGAAAAAAAAAAAAACGGTAATAATAATATTGAAAAAGTTTATTTATCAACATCTTCATGTCTAATAAATGTACAAAGAGTAATACATAACATGCATATGCACATATAATCAGTCACCTTATCCATCCCGGGATTTGCATCATCAAGTTTGATGTGCTGATATCACAAAAGACCTTTCTCGAAGAATTAAGGGCAAGTTAGCAATGACTCTTCACACAATTTTTATCTTGGGCAACAAAACAACTCCAGTTGTTTAGTGTATCTGTGCATATTCTTAATAAACAAATACTAATAGACCCATGATGAACCATTGGACCACTGGAGGCCCCAGTGCAGTGACCCAGATCATTCAGTCGATCTCCTGTCCGAGGCTGGATAGAACACTTCCTCTTGAGAAGGTAACCTAACAGTTATTTTTCACATTCAACAGGACAGATATGCTACATACTATTTTTAAACATCACTGATCTTTCATATTCAATATATTTCATTAAAAAATGTATTGATTTTAGTGAAAATAGATGTAAATATAAAAAATTATTCCTATTCAAGATATTTGACTAAATCTAGCTGTATGCTAAATACGACTATGACTAGCATACAAACATATCCAAGAATCAATTGTACTGGGAGCATCCTAATAAAGGACAGTTTAAACCAAAATAAAGGCAACCTTCCAGTTGAAATAGCTGTCTCTTTGTAATTTATTTAAGTTAATGCCAAATAAACAAATGGCCAGTGGAAGATTAGCAAAAGAAAATAAACAAACAAAGTTTCATGCACATGCACCTTCCCTTTGTTGTGGAAAAACAGTGTGAGAAGTGAATGAGTCAGTGTGTGTGTGTGTGTGAGAGAGAGAGAGAGAGGTTGGGGGGGTGGGGTGGAGGAAGACAGTTTAATCAACATCATGAACCGGCTTGCTGAACATATCTTTTTACCTGTTGTCATGAAACAAATGTTTGCTAATTCCATTTTATTTTTATTTAGTTCTACAATAAGCAAGCCAACCAAATTCTTGGTAACAAAGTAATCATGAACAGATGCCTACTCAGTTTCAATATGCACCAACTACTTACCTGGATGCTGCACTCAGAAAGGCGACATTTTGCGTTTTGCCTCAAGGAAAAACGCATGTGAGAGACATTCGTTATAGAGAAAACAGAAACGGCCTAAACAACATACCTCAAATGGAGTGAACATAACTACAAGATAATTACATCAGTGCTAACAGAGTCTGACACCAAAGAGCTAAAATTGAACGACAAAATGAAGCCTGCCGATCATATATACCAAACAACAGCAACGAGGACAGATCATCTGCCGCGGGAAATACAAATAACCCGTAAACAATACAAAAGAAGAAAGATCAGGAGAATATCATCAGTTACCTCAGCCAAGTTAAGAATCCAGACCCGGTCAAACACTCCTCCAAGTCAGGATTCGTCGCCGACAACCAGTATAGGAAACGATCCAAGATATGAAAGAAAACCCTTCCAAATCAAGCAAAAGGAAGACACCGAAAACGAAGAGAGCCAGGAAAGGAGAGAACAATGACCCTTAATCGACCGCGACGTCGCACTCGGACCCTACTGTTGACTCAAATTACCGCGACGACTCCACTTCTCGAGCTGTTTAAGGCGATGAGAGCAGGAACCACCGTTGAACGAAGTAGCCGATGGGATCATGGCGGCGCGGCGATGGAGAAGCCCTCCAAGCACCGAAGGCATGGTCGATGCCCGCGGAGGGAAGCAACACTCGATCGAGATCCGACGAGCCCTAATTCGACGGCACCCGATCCAAATTAGCCCATTCAACGACAGACTGAAGCCGAAGGGATGGAAGACAATTGGGGCAAACTTTGTTATCTTGATCGACGGAAGGGAGCTTTTATGGCAGGCTTAGCGTCCCGGTCAAGACCACCGGCAAAATGGGGGTTCAGCTGTTACGTCTGACCGACACGTAGCGTTTCGGCTAAGACGAGGAATAGTAATAGGCAATCCTGGAGGCCGAAGTCGTACACGTGTACGTTGCACCGTGGTGGCTTCTGCCTCGAACGGGTGTTTTCTCGGCCGTTGGTTTCTTGATGTGCGGCGGAGGTAAGACACGCGGAGAGTTCAGATATTTTGGGATGGTGGTAACGTTTGACGAATCGAGATGGAACAGCGTCCGGACGCGAGGACGAATCCGGACCGACCACAGGAGATGGAGTGATAAGTCGCGGTGGGCCCCATCTGACGCTGCGCGATGAGGACCGATTACAGCTCTTCTCCTCCTCCTTTGCCCTCTCAGCTGAGTTTGAGATCAAGCAAAGCTTCGCGTATGTATCGGCGTCGATACCATGCTTAACTTCAAGTTTTACTTGGGGTGGCTGTTCTCACCGTGGCAACACGAAGCTTCTAAAAGTGGTCGCGCACCGCCGACTCGATCATCTCGAGCAATTTGGGCTTAGAGTGAAGTAGAGCTACAAAATAAGAACGAGGAAAGAAAAGATCGGTCTTTTAGCAGCCTTCTTGGGCGCCCGACTTGGGTTCCTCGGAGGCCTCGTCCGTCTTCTTCTGCAGCAACACCTGGTTGATGTCGGGGAGCACTCCGCCGTGGGCAATGGTCACGTCCGCCAGAAGATCCCAGTGAAGACGAGAAGTCGAAGCTTCATGAATCCACTCATCTATCACATGAAACGCGAGACCGACGCGTTGGGCGTAGCGGCCGTCCGGGAACTGGATGCCGTCCTTGACGGACCGGGAGACACGCTTCTTCATCGGACTGCCGCCCCTCCTCCCACCGGCTCCCTTCTTTACTTTACGTATATGGTCGATCTCATATGTTGATCTATAAACTGATACACTGAGCTCTAAATCAAGCTTCTTCACTTGCGTTAATGACTGAATCCTAGGATTAGGTTAGCAGGCTTATCTTGACCTTTGAACTCTTATCTGTTCATCAACTATCTATGACTTTGCAGAGCAGCAAACGTAGTTGACGCAGAAAGAGATTCAGACCACGTTTCCAGACCAGCAGCAGTGCGTTGTATGCATCGAAGAGTAGCGTCTTTGACGTAGGGGACAACACATCAACGTTGTGCATGCATGAGGCTGACGAGACATACGATCTCGTCTTTGACGAGACTTACCAGCAGTTCAGTGCATGTTGTTATGTTCGTGAGGTCGTGCGACACACATCCAATTCCATGGCGTGTTCTGCTCTTGCATGAAAAGAGTGGCAGTGTGAATCCCAGTTAGGGAGACAGAGGAGAACACAGCGGGAAAAGTCGCAGGCAAAGAACACATGCAACATTGCGTGTCTCTCATTCATCACCAAAGAAACATTACACAGCAAAGTAAATGAAAGAAGCATAAAGATTCTATTAAAGATTGAGTCTGCTTACAATAACATTAGATGTATTTTTTATGCTATCTGTAAGCCATTCATAAACCCAATTAAAAGGCGGAACAGCAAATTTTACCTTTACATATCTCCGCATGACAACTAGTCATATATATGTGGCCATTAGCAGTCAGCGAAAGCAAGCACACGCCGTGGCTGAGTCCATGGTGGACTGATCTCAAACCCAAAGATCTTCTACCGGCAGTCGCGCTCGCCCTCGGACGGTGGCGCGTTCAGATCCAACCACAAGGCCTTCTCCTCGCGCGGCTTCTTCTCTTGGAGGCAGGAGCCCTGCGGAAAGCTGTTGGCCGCCGCCCTGTGTCTCCGCATGTGACCGCCCAAGGCCTGGCCGATGGCGAACTCGAGCCCGCAGACGGAGCACTCATGGACCCTCGCCCTTGCGAGTTCCTCGCGCCCGTTCCCGGCGAGCCGCGGCTTCTTGTGGCTGGCCCGGTGGCCTCCGAGAGCTTGGAAGGACGGGAACCGGCGGTTGCAGGTCTTGCACTCGAAAACTCTGTCTGCAGGGGATGTGCGCGCCGAGACGTCGACGATCTCCTCTCCGTCGCAGCCGCCGAAAGAGAGGAGAATAAGGACATTAGCCACGTTCATGCTCTCCGTCTCTCCTTCCTCCCCTTCTGTATATCTCTTCATATCTGGTTCTACTACGGTTCTCAGATGGAAGAAGGGAAAACAAGCAGTCGCTACTTATAGGCTCTGCGAAGACGAACTCCTTCCCGTATGTAAGCGCTGACTATAGCAATTAAATAGGGAACACGTAAGGATGAGATGGTGATGACAGCAGCATGGGAGACGTCTCTGTCCTGCGGAGTTCGATGGACGAGAGTGACGGCCAGCTAAGGAGACAACAAGCCAATTGGAGAACATAGGATTCGATTTGAACTACCATTACAATAGGAAGAAATATATGATTCATGACTCTTTCGCTGAATTGAAATCTGGAACATGATCTATTGAGTGACATGATTGTTATGAAGCCATGCTTACCGCTCAGACTACAAGGGTTTAGCAGTCGGACATGAGAGAGAGAGAGAGAGAGAGAGAGAGATCAGACTGTGGACTTGATGTTAAAAGCAAACCAATGCACGCGACATCAAGCAGCTGGATATTAATGCCACGCCTAATCATGCTCAAAACCATCTAAAGATGTTTCTCGTGTTTGACATTGCGCCATTCCAATTATGATCCATATATACTGCACAATGACGACACACAATGGCATCAACCATGGAATCACAACGGTCGAACAAATGTCTCCTCTTCTCCATTAACCAATGAGATGGTTCCTTGCACTTGTGAGCTTCTCAATGCTTACACTACGGAAGAGGAAAAGATTCATCGCAGACTAAACGAACAGATTAAATGAATGGTTAAAGTCTTTTTATATTACAACCAGCTGGCTGATGCTGAAGCAGCTTCAGTTCACTGCTGCTGATGCATGTTGCTTTCTATTGGTACGACGACTCGGTCACCATCAAGCGAGTCTCTCTGCATTGATTCATTGCATCTCATCACAGGAAGTGCTGCGGGTGTCATTGAACAGCATCAGAGTAAATGCGCTTTCTGCCATTAAAGCACAATTTGACAACTTAGTCAACGGCAGCTGAGAAGGTTTCAAAAGCCAGGATGGAGAGGGAGAGAGAGAGGCTGGACAAGATAAATCTGTAGATGACATGACTGGAGGAATACATATGTGTGTGTAGGGAGGAGAAGCTCTGCACAACTTTGCTACTCTGAATTCTGTATTAAATAGGGGAATGTCAGCAGGGCCATACGGTGAGGAACAGATATTTCACATGAAGAATATGGTGTTACTCTCTTCCGATTCCTCGCCAACCAGCAGTAGGTAGCTAATCTTGGATGCTACCGTCCATCTGTGTCTTGATTCGTCATTCTTAATGCCTTCTATAATACAGTAATATCTGCTAAAAGGTTAAGAATGTGATCGAGATTCCAACATCACAAAATCGTATTGTTCATGTAAAATGTGAGATATTTAGGTTTTGACTAAAAAATAAATAAAATGTTAAATAATAATTAAAAAAAGTGAAGTTTAGAAAAAAAAAATTGAAGATGCCTAAATGTTGCCTTAAGGCGAAATCTCATATGTACATGTGAAATTATATCGAGATTTTTATCCTAAGATTCAATTTATATTATCCATCGTATGAATACGATCCCGAAGTGATTTGATTAGCTTGTTGGAAATCAAATAATAAAAATATATTTAAATTTAAAAATTATATTATTTTTATGAATTGTTGATTGTCTCAAAAGTCAAAGGACATATCCTTTCGTATATAACCATCAAATTATAATATTAAAATAATTTCATTTATATCTTTTTTTATGACAAAAGTCATTTCATTTATATATTTATGAAGACTATCATTATGTATTATGTATATTTTTTAATTTTATGTTTAGCGTCCATGATAAGAGTAAACATATAATCATAAATCATGCATTTAAATAATCGGCATACATACTCAAAATTTCAACTACAAATATGTCAACAAACGTGTAAACAAATTCATGCATATCAATATGATACAAAAGTCACCCACATTTCTAATAAAATTTAATATATCAAGAAAGTATATTACATGATATGCTTTGCTAGTATGCATAACATTATTTCATAATGCATGATATATATATTTTTTAAATCTTGTAACAAGACTTTGATAGACATAAAAAATTATTAAAGTCCCCATAATTCTAGAAAAATTTAACATCACGAAATTAACATAAAAAATCGTGATATGCATTGCATATGATATTTTTAACATTTTTCATGATTTTACAAATGCATAATATTTATAATATTTTCATATGTGTATGTGTATGTGTATGTGTATGACAATTTGTCATGAAAAATATTTATTTATTTTTATAGACCATGGCTCCCCACATTTCAAAGGGTTATTGTTAGAAAAATATTATAATCTAAATGCCATGCATCAATAATGATTACATAATTAAGAATATTGCATGACATCAATATCAAGTATTAACATACATATTATAACAATTACAAAGTATAAAGTTTTGGTAGAGATGTTATAAAGTTTAACCTATTCGGTCGAGTAATATAATTGTTGGCACTATATCACATCATGACGAATAATAAATAAATATTTATAAATATTAGTAATACTTTTGACATAATACATCACATAATTTTATAAATTTCGACATCCGTAAAGAGATTGACATGAGACTAACAAATAAAAGGAGCTCGATTTGTTATGAATCAATTTTCAGTACGAACGATTAATTTTTTTTATTAAAATAATTAATCATTTAATTATCATCTTTTATTTGGGATCATATATGTCATGTGATTATTCAGAATTTATGATAAATATATTTATAATTTATATTATTATTAAATATTTTTTAAAATAATTGATTGTTATATCCCGAGTTAAATGTTTCATCAGTTATATTTTTTTCTTTTATAAATTTTTAAGAGACCATAAGAAGTTTTAAGAAGACTAATAATTTATGAGCGGACACTAAAGATGTTGTACAAATTAAAAAAAAATAAACTAAATCCGTAACAAAATTTTAATATTAATGAATATTAATTTAAATATTAATTTAATAAAAAAATATTATTTATTTCATCGAGAAACTTAAATTTATTTATAGATTAAACACTATCATTTGACTAAAGTTGAAGATTTAACTTAACCAACAACAAGCCGGAGAGCTAAACACCTAAAGAGAAAGAGACGGTGGTCACAGAGCAACAACGCAGTCGACCAATTCCATGTTCCTCGATGCAAACAAAAGAAAGAAACAAGTCATGCAAGCAAGCACATTACTTTTCCTACAATTCCTCTCCGGTTGGCGTAACTACGTGCCTTCGTCGGCACGGCAAACGAAAGCATTCACCGACATGAGACGAATGCTCCTCGGTTGCAGCCCATGTCTTCTTTTTAGGTCGATGCCCATCGTTTCTTTCTCATTCTTCTTCGTACGGTCGCTTCAGAGTCGTCCATTACTCCTCGTGGGGTTCGTCCTCGATCCGCGCGCACCCGCGCGAGATGGGGACGGTAGCCTCTCGCCGCTCCGTGGGGTTCGTCCTCTTCCTGGGGATGCATTTGGCACGTACGCCCTCGATTTCCTTCTCCGTCGGCTCCAGTTTCGAGCTCCTGATCGCACGTTTCGACAGCATTACATGTCGATTCAAAGAGATGTTGTTGAGGTGACGCAAGCTTTTACCTGCACGCGTTGTATGAGGAGGACCTCTTCAGGGCGAGGAGCTCGGCGCGGCCATCGCTCGTCTTCTTCTTCGTCTCGATCAGGCTCCCGCTGAAGTACTCCTTGTCCTCCAGCCTGATCCCCGCGAAGCCATTGCCCGGCATCAAGCC